TGAGCCAACAGGAAAGAAGGAAGGAAAGAAAGGAGTGTGTGTATGTGTGTGTTTTCTCAGAATCTTTATTTAAACATGCTTTTGTCATACACACACGTGGAGAATATCCGCACATTATTACCGCACAGTTGCTTCTAAATGGTGTTATTGTTGAGAATTAACATGATAAGGCAAGATGGTGGTGGCGGTGGTGGGTGTTGACATGCACGTACCTCTCAGTATAGACTTATCCACCCATGGTAACACAATTAAATCCTAAAACTGAAACACGATGGAGTTTGCTGCAAACATTTGTGACTCCTATGCGAAGTACCTGACGCGTGAAGTCAGCTGACCGTTTGCTTTGCTCCGATTGGCTGCAGATGTTTGTTATTTATCTTCATTCAAGTACATCCCTTCTTTCCTATTGGTACAAGTAAAGTAGAGTTTGTTATTGCCGATACTGACACTGATATTTTTTCTTTCTTTCTGTTCCTTACCAATCACCAATACTGAAATTTACCCTGATACTTCTCAAATCCTCACTGATATAAGTAAATATGATGCTGTTATTGCTGAGAACGATAAGCGTAAGAAAGAAGCTGGTACCAACGACACACTCTTGAGAAAGATACTTTGCGGTTTCTATAACATGTACAATTAAAACAGAGGCTGGTATCACATGTATCGATATGGATAGACACTTTATGTGACACCGCCACTTTATATTTAGCTACTGATACAGATAAAATAGAGTCCAGCATATTTACCGACATTGACATTGATACCGATAGTTTACATTTCCTTAGGAATACAACTAAAATAGAGGCTTGTATCACTGATACCATAATCAGTACATTTATATTCATTTTTATATGGATACCAAAACTTTACATTTCCGTAAGGCTCATCTTGCCAATGTTAATAAATGACAAATCCTTACCGATACAAGTAAAAGAGAGGCTGGTATCACCGGTATCAGTACCAATACTTCACAATTAGTTACAGGTACAACTTAAATAAAGGCTTTTATTGTCAATACAAATATTGATACCAGGAAGCTGGTATTGCAGATGATATGATACCGATACTTCACATTTCCTGACTGATACTGAAATAAAATCTAAGCTGTTGCTTCCAACACCAATATTGATATTTTACATTGTTTACAAGTGAAGTAAAGGCTGACACAATACCAATACTTTACATTTCTTCACTAATACAAGTACAGTCTGGTCTTGCCATTACTGATATGTTGTTTGATGCCTGAGGGGGGCGCTGTTTCACCCTTTGACACGATGACTGTGTTTTGGTTTCTGTTTACTTCCTTTTGTGGGTTAAGTAGCGCTTAGCTAATGTAGTGTGGTTCACCTGTGTCACCGAGGTCCCAATGAAGGTCGGGTTCTTTGTGTTAAAAGTGAGTGAGACAGTCAGGTCTCACTTCCTTGCAACCCTGCTGGACTTCCCGTCTTTGTTTGACTCTCCAGTCAAGTCTAACCTCAGCACCTGAGTCTGCTCATGTCTATTTATAGATCGTACATTGCTGACATGCTTGATCCTTGAAAGCTTTTTTAGAGTTCCTTTACAGGATGGCCAGCCCAGTGGCCAACGTATTAGTCATGTGGCGACATATGCCGTTTTTTTTTTTTTCACAATTTAAAAGAGCTCACGGGTGTCTTCAATTTTTGCTTGTTCGCATTTTGCTGAATTTCCCCACAATAGTCATTTTTTAGTAAGACTTCATTCTTGTAAGCCCCCCCCCCCCACACACACATACACACACTCTTAACATGGATGGCCTTTCCTTACTCCTCTTTCCAAGCATCCGTCTTCTCTGTCCAGAATATGTACATTTTTTGTCCCAGGGCTTCTATGTCATGACATGTGCCTGCTCAGTGGTTCTTTGGTTTCTCCAATATATACATCAGTGCGTTCCTCACTGATTCCTCACCAGATTGTCATTCTGGGTATGTGGTGTCCCGTCTATGGAAGGAACCAGCCTTCGTCTAGGTGTTTCCACCTTCAAAGTGTACTGGACTGTTACGTTGGTTAAAAATCCTTCACACTCTTTCAGACCTGATACATATGGAACGAGTCGATCACTCTTTTCATTCTCATCCACATCACTCTTGTGCCTTCTGTTACTAGATCCACTTTTTACAAACGACCGCCTGGGGTAACCACAGGTTTTAAGTGCTTTCTTTTTGGGCATGTGAGCTGCTTGGAGTATTATCAGCTCTGTGGTGTAGTGTTCTGATAACACCTGATTTGTGTTCCACTCGGTGGTCTGAGAAAAAAAAAAAAAAAAAAAAAAAAAAAAAACGTGTGTGAGTGTGTGTGTGGTTTCTGATTTTAATCCATGTGTCATCCGCATAGCTGTACCAATGACTGGCCGGACCTGGATGGTATAGTAAAGCTCACATTGTCCCACACAATGACATCGACAAAATAGTAATGCTCAAGCCCCGAGACAAGATCTTGTGATCAGCAGATGTTGAGTGCTGCATGGCCCCAATGTTGCATAATGGTGGAGAACCCCATGATTGCAGATGGCAGCAAAGCATGAGACATTGCCACCACCCTGACTGGAGGCTGCATAATACTGTATTATAATCAAGTGGTGTCTTTTTAAGGAATCCAGTTGACCCATTAGTTATGTAAGTGGCACAGAACACCTGCCTGCACATTATTGCTCCTTGAACCTCTCTGAGTTGTGTTTCAAGTGTACTCTGTGCAGTTTCTTCTTCTTTCTGTTGCGTTTGAGGACGCAATCAAAGATGGGAAAGGCTAGCACTGTTGGTGCCTTTAAAATTCACACGATCTTGAAAGATTTTCTGCTATACTTCAGGCTGTTTGATGGCATTGTTCTTCTGTTGACCGACCGTGTCAACAATGAAGACCTCTTGGTGGGGGGGGAGAAACAGATGGCCACCCCCACTGTTGTGTGAGTCTTGCGATTCCACAACAAAAGTACAACAACATGTAGTTACATAAAAATATTGTCCATGCATTTTTTTTTTAGGAATGAAATGTTTTTTTTAAGAACACTAAGGTCTACTATGCTACTGTATTTTTGAATGTTATTAATTATAGTGGTACTATCAGAGCCAAGTATGATTTGAGGTGTTATTTTATGTAAAAAGATTAAACGTATTTTACGAGCGGAAGCAGAGCCCAGAGCGTACATGGACATAACGCAAAATGTAGTTCGTAGTTTTTAATTGATTGTAAATACCCAAACATAAAACATCAAATTGTCAACATTTCATTTTTGGCAATACTGCATCATAAACATGTTATGCTAGCAATGTAGCTGCCTTGACATGCTACTGTGCACTTGTGTTAAAGAGCTGGGGGGATTTTTTGGGGCAAAGACATTGAGGGAGGCGACTCAATTACATTTGTGATTTCATGGAACATGTAACCCCTCATCCTCATGTCAACAATTTAGCCAAAGATTATTATACCATTCTTATGAGAGGCTAACGCTAATCTGTCTGAACACTGCAACTCTGTTTAGCTTTCGGATTTGAAGTGACAGTGGTTGGACGGCCAAGCTCTGGAACTTTGTCCATCTTAGCCGATCATGTCGTTGGCTGAGAAACTCTGTGTGGTTCTAGTTATGATGTTAATTGCTCCCATTGTGATATTTGTGATTTCATGGAACATGTAACCCCTCATCCTCATGTCAACAATTTAGCCAAAGATTATTATACCATTCTTATGAGAGGCTAACGCTAATCTGTCTGAACACTGCAATTTTGTTTAGCTTTCGGATTTGAAGTGACAGTGGTTGGACGGCCAAGCTCTGGAACTTTGTCCATCTTAGCCGATCATGTCTGTGTCTGAGAAACTCTGTGTGGTTATAGGTATGATGTTAATTACTCGCATTGTGATGTTACAATCTGGCAAAATTCAGAGGGGTTCGCTCACAGACACATTTCCAGAAATAGGCCGCGAACCAAAGATTTACTCAGTTGTATAATTTCATGAATTCCAGACTTTCATAAAAATCTGTGACCAAATCTGTGATCAAAGATCAAAATATGTTGTTGGAATCATGATACCAAGAATAATGGAAAACAAGTCTTCAGCCCTCTGAGTTGTTAGTTTAGCTTTGTGCTAGCGAAAACATGACGCCATGTTGACTGAGTGTTGTTTGACCAGCTCTGGCATGGGATCAAACGCTGCCGGGTTTTACCAAACAACATCATACATGCTGATGTACGACTCCATTATAAACACACGACATTGCAAAGCTCATTTCGACCCTTCCCATCATCAGTCCTGGCGAAATGAAACATCATATCAATGGATAGATCCCTCCTTCCTTCCTTCTGAGTTCTTCCCAGCTATTCAGTTAGGCTAAAAGCTAAAACTGGATTATAACCTATGATGTTTTTTTTTTTTTAATGAATTTGCTTTTTTGTTGTAAATAATACGTGATAATATTAGTTGTATATTTTAAAGTGAGTTAAAAAAAATACAGTTCTTTTAAACGGTATGTTTGTGACTTAATACTGGGCATTGCGTCTCATTTTGTTTCATGCATGCCTTTTCGCTCTTTAGAAAACATATTTTTAAAGGTGGTTTAATTAGTTCTTATTTAGTGCAATTTTTGTCAATTATAATTTTTTTAATTATTAAATTACTATATATATATTTAAATATATATATATATATAAAATGTATATATGTATATGTACAAATGTGTTGCTGCAAAATATGCACTTAACATTCTTTTAATTTACCTGATAAAATAATTGGCTATTGAATGACAATCAAAGGATTCATAAACAAGAAAATGGAATGAGAATGACTATTATCGTAATGAATTATTTTAATTATTTTTCATACACCAAGTTTTTATTTTATTTACCTCATCTACGAATGGTGGCCCATTTGCCCATTTTTCAAAATCAAAATGTGACCCTTGAGCACAAACATTTATTTTCGCAGCCCTGTTGTCGAAATTTTAATGATTGTAGAAACTGATCATATTGACAATGTCTGTGTTACAGGTGGTGTGCACAAGAAGCTGTGCTGCTGTGTCAAGTCATCACACGTCCAGCAGCGACACACACGCACATGCACAAACACACACACATCAAGATCACTAATCTGTAAAAGATTGATGAGGCCCACTCAGGCCCCGCGAGGCCTGGTCCAGCGTCGATAAGGCGGCTTGCATTTCACCGCCATTCAACCCTCCTTCTCCTCCAATCGGACACGGTGCCTTGACAAGGGGTGTGGCAGGAGTGGCGGATGATGATGAATTCAGGGACCTTGCACGGGAATCGGGAGCCATGACAGGTCACGGGAAGGACGCCTCGGCTCGGGCCGGTCAGGAGGAGGAGGAGGACGGCATGTTATCGTTAAAATGGCGGACGAGCAGGAAGCTGCAGAGCTGAGACTGACTTAAGCCGCATAAAACACACGCAAACACATTCAGGACAATGTGCAACATCTCCTTCTGTAATGTGGACAGCAAGGTGGATCAGTTCTTCCAGCCCACGCTCTACATCATCGTCATGGTGCTAGGCCTGCCCACCAACTGCTTGGCCTTGTGGGCTGCCTACATGCAGGTGAGCATCGACAAAGTCAAGAAAACACACGCTTGTGCTGCGCTCAGTGTGCATGTCGGTCCACTAGTGGCTGCTGTAAGCACAAAATAAGCAGGGATTCATCAACAAAAAGACACAAGCAAGGATTGCAGACAACAAGCAACTGACATGGTGGTTTGGATAAAGGGGCAGCAAATGGTTTCAACTTTATAGCCGTTTTTTTTTTTTTTTTTTTTTTTACTGCGTATACCATGCCTTTTGTGGAAGTATTCATTTAACAGTTGTTGTGCTTCAAGCTTACCGTATGCAACGGATGCTTTTACATTGTTTTTTTTTTTTTTTACATGAGACTCAAACATTAGAAAGTAAAACGCAGTATGTCTCATAGGTAGTTTCTATAGTCATTACTCGGTTAAGAATGTTATGTCCCAAAGAATAAAAATAAAAATAGCGGTAGCACGAAGAAGAAAAATAAAAAATAGCAGTAAGAAAGAAAAGAGAAGAAAATAATAGAAGAGATAACAGAAAATGGAGAAACGTAGCGGCAATCTGGAGAAAAGTGGGTCGAAGATCCACCAGGTTAACCGGCAGCTGAGGAGAAGTTATGATGTAATTTACATTTCAGAAACCAGAAGCCATTCATTTACGAATGTGATTGCACTTTAGTTTACATATTTAAATTTTCTGATATTAAGATTTGAATGAGGCAAAATAATGTTTTTTCTTTCAAATATATTGTTATAATCATTTGTTTCAGATGTACTGTAATTATTTTCTGTATAAAAAATAATTTGGTATTCAAAAAGTCTTTTTTTTAAACTTGAGTCTTGAAAAAGAGGGGGTCGTCTTATAATCAGGGCCGTCTTATATTCGGGCCAATACGGTAATAGTTGTGGATTTTTCATAACAGTTGTTATTACCTTTTGACTTCAGTCAGTTACATGGAAACCCTTCTGCAGCGCCTCCTCTGTGTCTTCTTTGTTGGTTGCCTTCTGTTGCACCAGCAGCCCGTAGGTGGTCTCAAGCTGATGACGATTGTTGTCCGCAGCAGCTTATGGCTGAATGTAAACAAACATCTGCAGTTGCTGCTGGAACAGGTTGCTGACTCTCAGCGCCAGAAAGTGACTCCCTTCTTCCTCCTTCCTTTGCCATCATTTTAGTTATCGTGTATTGTATAATCAGCGGTAGAGTGGGACTGTTTATTTCATTCTATGGATTTTTTTCCAAACATTCTATTGTGCAAGGTGGCATCTTTCTTCCTTGTATCGTTTTCGTTCTTGATTTGTTGTCACCTTCTCCTGCATCGAGGTGAGACAACACAACGAGCTGGGCGTGTACCTGATGAACCTGTCCGTGGCAGACCTGCTGTACATCGGCACACTGCCGCTATGGATCGACTACTTTCTCCAGCGCGACGACTGGATCCACGGCCAGGAGAGTTGCAAACTCTTCGGCTTCATCTTCTACACCAACATCTATGTTAGCATCGCCTTCCTCTGCTGCATCTCGCTGGACCGATACCTGGCGGTCGCCTACCCGCTCAGGTTCGTTAAGGTGCGACGTGTCAAGACAGGTACGTCCCTTTTGGTAGTTATCAATGGAGTACACAGGGTGGGACAAAATAGCGAAACCATCATGCAGTTTAGGAATGTCACAACATTGTTTCCTGTCAAAGTATCATTTAGTATCCCTCACTGCATTGTGATATCATTATTGTTGACAGTGTATCAGTGATATAGGATAAGGATATCATTGTAATGCTACTGCAAATCGTATTGTATTGATATGTCACCGTCAGATGCAAGGCATAATCACTGCACTGTGAGCTTACCGTTACATTAGCATTATCATTGTATTGATATGACAATATCAGATATGGAGTAGTCATCTCTCATGATTTTGTATCCCATCCATAATGTACACTGAAGGGCAGCACAAAATATCACAGTGAAATGAACTGATATCGTGATAGCATTACCTACCATAGCACAGTATCGGTGAAAATATGTGAAAAATGTGGAGTGATATTGAATTCCATCTCTAATGTAGCCTAAGGGCGGGACAACCTATCAACATATACATACATATATAATCATAAGAGAGTAGAGCAATATTGAAATATCATTACCTCTCTTGGTACAGTATCGATATGCTAACATCAGATGTACCACACAGTCACTGTATATTAGCATTATTGGTGGCGCAAAATATATTGTGATATAATTTCCATTACAACACAGTACAGTAGAATATTGACACGTGGACATCAGATATAGCTCATAGTTGCCATATCATGATATTGGCATTATTGCTGGCAAAGTGGCATGATATTGTGTCCCACCTCTACTCTGGGAAAAAATATTCATATCACAATATACAGCATATTGATATAATGATACAATATAGTGGATATTACAGTATACCACCATCAGATATGGGTCGGATAATATATTGGTATTGATACCACTCAGAGTACAGTATTCACATTGTGATGTTATTATTATTATTGGAAACGTATTTTGATCCCAACTCTGATATATGTGAAAAGGACAAATGTATAGGGACACTCACGATAAGTGACCACCTGTCTTATTGTTCCCCCTCCTTGTGTAGCCATCCTGGTGAGCGCCACCGTGTGGCTCATGGAGATCATAGCCAACTCAGCGCCACTTTTCCACGACGAGCTCTTCCAGGGTCGTTTCAACCACACTTTCTGCTTCGAGAAGTACCCCATGCAGGATTGGGTGGCGGGGATGAACCTCTACCGGATCTTCTTAGGCTTCCTGGCTCCGTGGACCGCCATGCTGGTGGCCTACCGCGGCATCCTGATCGCTGTGCGTTGCAATGTCTCCACTGAGCGTCAGGAGAAGGCCAAGATCCAACGGCTGGCACTGAGTTTGATTCTGATCGTGTTTTTCTGCTTCGGGCCATACCATGTCCTCCTCCTTGTGCGGAGCGTGATATTTCTCAAGAAACCGTGCGATTGCAGTTCCGAAGAGCGCTTGTTCGCCGCCTACCACGTCTCACTGGCGCTCACCAGCCTCAACTGTGTGGCCGACCCCATTTTGTACTGCTTCGTCAACGAGGGTGCGAGGCACGACGTGGGCCGGGCACTCTCCGCGCTGCTGTCGGCAGCATGCTGCAGGGGTTCCGCTTCCTCGCCGTCGCAGGCCGACGTGCTCAACGCCGCCTCCGTCACCTTGGAAACACCCATGGCAACCAAGAAGCAGCCGTGCGTCTACGCCGACAATAGCCAGGCCGGGGAATACAAGACGGAACTGGTGGCGCTGAAGGAGGAATGTCTGCAGATGAGCATACTCAAGTGATTGTAGATTGGACAAAAAAATGTGCTTTGACGCATTCATCAGGGCTTCAGATGAAAGTTTTGGTTTCAAAGTAGGATTAGGGATTCAAATGACGTCTTCAAACTACAACTAGAGTTTCAAACAAGAGTTCGGGTTTCAAATGATCGTTTCACATCAAGCTTTGAATTTCAAATCAGAGGTGGGGTTTCAAATGATGATTCCAGACCGTAGTTAGGCTTTAATAGTCTGATTTTTTTGAGGCCAATGCCAATTCTGATATTCGACAGAATAAAATTCAAAGTGACTATTCGGCTGTTTAATAATAGACAAAAATAATAAATAGAATATCTTCTTTTTTTTTGGTCCCTTAATGCTTACTACAGTAAATACATTTAATTCCAGGCAGAAAATTTGCCTTCAGTATTTGTTTAATACATAGAAAAATTGGCAAAAATCGGCCAGTTTTTTTTGGGGGGGAGCAGTTTTTTTTTCGAATGTTTGAACATCATTATCTTTGTCTTAGGTTGTAATGTGCAAATGAGTACAAACAATTTTTTTTAAAGCGTCACAAATCAGCAAGTGTCTTTACAGATTTTAAAATAGCGAATAACAGCCGATTAAATCACCCATCTGATGATTAGGACGGGCCCTATTTCAAAGGAAACTTTAAAGCCTGGGGTAAGGTTTTAGTTAACAAACAAGGTTCCGGATTTCAAAGTAGGGTGAGAGATTCTAATTAGGGTTCAAAGGAGGATTGGGGTCAAATGATCTTTTCATGATATAGTTAAGTTCACAAATTGGGGTTTCAAAGTCAGAATTGGCTATTGCACTTTTGTGTTTCTGGTGTCAGAAGTTGTGATGCGTGCGAAGATAAAGCAAAATCTGTCACCATCCTGTTGAGGTACCAAGCTCAGTGGTAGGGTACTAAAGGGACATTTCCACATCCGAAGCGCGAAGGGGACCAGAAGGCTTGATGGGAAAGGTGACGGAGGACACGCCACTTCCTGTTGTAGAGGAAGCGATGTTAGATGTGATCGACCAACATTTGCCTGGAAGGAATCAGGAAAGTTCATTGATGTCTTTCAGACGGGATTCCAGTTGGGATCCTTCTTGCATGAACTGTAACTTTTTCCCGCCACGTCTGCCGATGTCCACACTTTTAATGCATGCATGGACACACTTTTTTTTTTTTTTTTGAAAGTGAAGTTTGTAAGTTATTCATTGTTTTATTAATGACCAGATGAAAGCACATTGTCACCTCAACAACGCAGACTCAAATCTTTGGGGTCATTGTCTTGATTTATGCGACTATTTTCAAATACTATATACCCTGTAAATATATTTCAAAGTATGGTTTCAAAGTAGGGTTCTAAAGTGAGGTTAGGGTTTCAAATTGAATATTGAATTGGCTATTGAACAGACAGACCTGAAAACCTGCACTCACCCCCACCCACCCATTTTTAATATGCTTATATTTATATTTTATAATTTATATTTATTGATATACTTTTTATTCTTCTACTTCTCCCTTTCATAATTTTTGCTGCTGTAAATTGGGAATTTCTCCATTGTGAGACAAATGAAGGTTTTCTTATTTTATCTTAAAATAAGGGTTTTAAACTGGGAGTAAGGTTTCAAAGTAGGGTGTTAAACTAGGCTTAGGGTTTCCAAAAAGAGTTACTATTTAGGATTTATAAGTAGGATTTGAGTTGAGGGTTTGCATTTATAAGGGTTAAGGTTTTAAAGTAGTGTTTCGATATCTGGTATAAAATCAGGTTAGGGTTTCAAATGACTTTTTTCTGCAAAGTAGGAAATATTGCTTTGAACCAACTCAGTCTCCTTCATCTCCACTCATAAAAGCAAAATATGTAATTTTTTGTGTGTAATTCTTAAGGATTATCATGGCTTCAAGTGAAATTTAAGACTCGTTAAGGTCCCTGCGGCCACCCTGGTCCCTGCAAGAAAGAGCATATACTGATGAAAAATTATTTAAGGATCACGTGCTTGTCATTGAACAGCAACCGTATATTTAATTTTGGGTCGATGTTTGAAAAATGCAAACAGGTTTAATCTTGTTATCACGGCTACTGAATGGGCGCCATTTATTCCTCCTACCAGCGTGACCAATGTGACCCAGAATCCATTTGGAGATCAAAAGCAGAAAAACAGCACTGCAAACCGCAGGCACGATCTATATCTATAGTATATAATCTATATTATGAAATCTAACTTATTTCAACAGGGAAAAAAAAATCGGATTCCCTATTTTAATGACTTTCCCCTGCTTCTTACAGATTGAGGGTGCTATATAAATAATTTCCTTTCTATTTGCAGCCAAATTGAACTGTGCATGTCAGAAACAGCAATAAATAAATAATTTTTAAAAAGATTTCAAAAATCATACCTGTCAACCTCAGCTAATAGCTGCCCTTATAAATGATTACGATTCCCCTTACAAAGCAACAAAAGAACCTTACAAAGGCTTACTGCGCATGCGCACATCATGCTTTATCAATCCTACCGTACGCAGCTTTGAAAAAAAATATACGATTGAGGATTACTTTTGCTGGTTTGTCGTGACAATAGTAGCGATCGACGACGCTACTATTGTAGCTACTGTCGTTGGCTACCAGCAGGGGAGACGATCTGGATTTGAGCCAAAATGGTCTTTGTGAGATCGGTTCACATTTTTTTCCGCCTGTATAAAAGTCGTAATACGCCGTACATGATTTGAAATGATAAAAAAAACGTATAAAATACGGGGAAAACGTACATGTTGACAGGTATGAAAATTTGTAATGACAATAAAACTCAGGGATGGACAATTTGAACAATGGTATGGGCCACAATTTTCCATCAGCTCTACAGGGGGCCCCACACAGGACAGCGGACTTCCTAACCAGATGTATGAGAAAATACCATTGTGAACAAGGACAAAACGTGTATCATGCTTTTTTTTTTTTTTTTTTCTAATTGAACCAAAACAAAATGAAAAAGATCCAATCCTCAACTACAAAGGTTTTGAAGCAAACTCCCCCAAACAAATACACATTTTTAGAGGAACTACTCACAAAATTCCAACAATCTGTCAACGGTTCATGTTAAAAAAAAAAACAAACAAAAGAACAAAAAACTGTTATGTACTTTTGAGGTTGGTGTTGTACTGGCGACATAGGGCTGACATCTTTCATGCTAATAGCATCTCAAAGCAAATGAGGGCGGTTGATGTGTAAATTTTCTTGATTTCATTTTGGGCCTGGCTTCCCTTCTTTGGTAGAGGAGTACAATCTTGGTGTTGGAGTTGCTCTTGACTGCCATCTAGTGGTAAGCAAACTAAAATGGCTCATCCACAGTATGTTTTTGTTTTTTTTTTTTTTTTTAAATAAGATCCATAATTAACCAGCGTGTCCACCTGTTGCCATTCATACAAAACAAAGTACTCAAATGCAAAAATCTGTGAGTAATTGCGAACTTGCGATTGGCTATAGATGCCACAGGATAGTGGCAAAGCACTACTTTTGTCAAAATGAAATTCTTCAACTCACTTCATCGTGGTTCCTTGGGACCAAGATGCCAGAAAAATATTACTTTTGTCAAAATTAAGCTCCTTAATTCACCTCAAAATAATTGGTTTCTTTTTTTTTTTACCTAATAAAGTTACAGGAACACTGAATGAGACACCTAACAACATGTCGCAGAGTCTAAAACAATTGGCCACTGAGCTTCTTCAAATGTTCAGATCCCTAGGACAATATTTTAGTTCTAGTCAATTTAACCATGGGAATGGTATTGTGGTTGCAATTTAGTGGGAAGAAAAGCACAACTTCCTGTCAGAGACAGTCTCGGCTGTGTCAGCATGAGGTCTGTTAGTGTCAACATTGGATGCACTGAGGTCGTTGGACATTCGATAGCGATCGAGTAGACGTCGACCTGTTGGACCTTGAAGCTCTCACGGGCCTAGATCAATCAACCCCGTCACTTCCTGTTTGTTAGCGAACCTGTTTTTGTTTAGAGCACGCATATTAAAGAAACATTCTCACGGTACTCTGTGAAGCATTGCATGCTGGACAAACAAACGCTGCCGTAAAGAAGATCGTCTTACGTCACTTTTGGTGTTTACCTTACCCCAGGAGACAACACCATGGAAATTGTTTTGACCTCATGAATTCACTTTGAACTCAATAAACAATATTTAAATATTTTCTTAACACGGTCATAAATAGTGTGGAATGAAGTCACATTCTTCTTGTAACACGTCTAGAAAATAAAATCACATTATCAGAATCTTACTGAATTTTGTCTAATAGCGCCATCTTGTGTCTGATTAAAACTATGTCACAGAAAGGATAATAATAATAATAATAATAATAATAATAATAATAATAATAATAATAATAATAATAATAATAATTCTCATAATACTAAGCAGCAGCAGCAGCGATCGACCTTATTGCATCGAGTGCCACAAAAAAACGAAGAAAAAAAGAAAAAAAAAGTCATGCAGAAATCACGGCCCTAATTTCATTCATCTGTTTATTGTTTCATACATTTACATCGCAAAAAAAAACCTCATTTTACTTAAAAAGGTGGGTTTTTCTCCCTCATTTTATTGGCAGTTGCCAGCCACTAGTAAACGATGTCGCTATCGTCAGGCACTCGAAGGGAGGAAAATAAAACTTTATTAATTACAGGTGCGAACTCGTTTACTTCCTGCCTCAGTGCGTACGTTAGCTGCCAAACGACAAGAAGCATATTAGTGTTCCACTACTAGCCATTAGCAAACCTTCTGTCATAAAAGAAAATAGTCTGCGGGTTTTTTTTCAACCGAAACGTATGGCACTACTTTAATTTAGCAAAGAATAATCAAGTCGTCTTCAAACTCAGCCTCAGAGTTGTCAACATGGTGACCATGACGCGATGACCTAGTATTAATTTGGTCCTCTTGGCAGGTAAGGGACAAGCATAATAGAGTCCTCAGTAAACATTTTGACATGTAAAATTATTTAAAAAATGACATGGCGGGCCTTGCATTTGGTACCTACAGCCTTTAGTGGAGACTTAATCCACCTCTTATTAGCACCACTATAAATTTGCAATTATAGACACTACCATTGTACAACAAAAATACAATATAACAGAACAGAACTGTGCCACATACATCAGCATGACTGATTCTGAAGACCTCGGGTAAAACTATTTCAGATTAGAGAAAGATAGAAAATCGAGAAAATAGACTGTTGGGAGTTGATGAATAAATTTTTAAGGAACAAAAATGAAAATATTGTAAATGTATGTTAGTGCTCAGGAAGAAGGCTTCTGCTGGTAAAATGGTGATTAAAAGTCTAATAAAAGAGTAAAAGGCTATTTCAGGGTAGAAAATGATGACAGGATTGTCAAATATTTAAACTATATATGAAATAACTAAATAGGAAGACAGTCACCCTAAAACTGCATAAACAGAAATGACAACAGGACAGTCGGGCGTAGGACATATTAATACATATTCTGGTAGATGGATCGCAAGTGAATTTCCATACTGTGAGTCTAATAAAACCCAATTCTATTATAATGTCTTCCTTCAACCATTGTACTTGATACATAATTTTTAAAAGCATCCACACACACTGCAGTTTATCCCATCAGTCATTTTGTGAATTAAGTGATGTCATCCTTTCAATCTCACTGAGTGCTACCTCTTCCTCTTCCTCCTCACCATCAACTCTTCTATCGATCTTTGAGTGCACAGCAGGGAGACAATCATGGAAATGTAAAGTGGGGGAAGGGACAGCCAAGACGTCACACAAATGCCCTCCACTTGGATCAGGAAAGTGTCCCGTCGGTGAGTTTCACCTCCTTGCCTTATTGATGGTTTCACTTTAATGCGCACAACACCCCCAGTACAAACACTAAGCAGTTCACTTGTCTTCGGAGAGAGGAAACCAGTTCATTTGAGGTAATTGTTCTCTCAAAGTGGAAAGCATTCATCCTGAATGACACCAGAATATTACGTTGTTTCATTTTACCAAACCAGGGAAGAGGAAGCAGATTATTGTTGATTAATTGTCATCTGGCTAAAAATGAAGATTACGCCAGCAATATACCAGAACCTCAAAAGTCCAACAGAACATGGAATGACAGGATGTTGTTCAACTTCTGACTTGTTGAAGGTTTTAAAAAAACATTTTATGCAGATTAAGTAATGCAGGCAAGTAATGTTAAAACATTTTCTTGGTGATTAATGTTGCCATTTCTCCTTCTTTTAGAAAAACTGTTGCAACCCCACCGCCATAAGAAAGTCAAATATATGCAGGATTAACCTCTGTCCGCTGAACCGAGCTCTCGTCCAAGATACGCTGATGTCTTGATATCTCTTTTATTCTGAATGGTTTTCAAGATCGCTTTTAGTTCTTTATTTTTGATTCAAACTTCGATTATATATTATATATCAATCTTAAGTGCCCCCCCGCCAACAAAAAAATCAAGGTTGTAAATATAACCACATTGATCTCAGGCAGGGCGGCACACTGATTGACCGGTTAGTACATCCGTCTCACAGTTCAGAGGTGCAGGGTTCGATTCTGTGCCTGTGTGGGTTTTCTCCGCGTACTCTGGTTTCCTCCCACATTCCAAAAACGTGCATGGCAGGCTAATGGAACACTCTGATTGTCCCCCGGTGTGTGTGTGTGAGCACGAATGTTGTTTGTGCGCCGTGCAATTGGCTGGCCACCAGTTCAGGGTGTCCCTTGCCTGCTCCCCGAAGACTGCTGGGATAGGCTCCAGCACGCCTGCGACCCTCGTGAGGATAAACGGATTAGAAAATGGATGGATGGATGTATGGATCGTCTTGACAGCTAAAATAGATTGCCTTTTTTAAAATACACGAATCTAAAAAACAGTAAACATTAGATGAGCAACACACTTATATTGACAACAAATTAAAAAAAAACTATTCGGAAAAAAATAATCTTTCATTAACAAAATCGCCACAACTCCTAACTGAGGACGCCCGAAAAAAGGAATGTGTTGCGCTTACGCCCTCGCTACCTACAGATGGCGCCAGAGGATGAACATCTGCAAAGGGAGTCAATCCAGACAGACTGAACATTACCTGCACAGACGTTTTTCCCAATCCAAATTAAAACGCTTCTTGTCACATTCTCTGTTGACTAACCTATAGCTATTAAACTGTACAAACTTTTTTTTTCCAGCAGACATAATGTTGTGCTTTTCAGACTCTCCTGCGCGGAGCAGGAAGCGTCGCAGGTGTCAAACAGGAGCTCACAAAATCCACCATATCCGCTTGCAAAATCTAAAACACTGGCTGGCCAGCATGTGTTTTTACTGCCCACCGTCCCGCTTGACTTTTTCCACATGGCGGCGACGCTGGCTGGCAGGAGCGTCTGGTGAAACATCTGGACGGAGCTTGGGAACGCAAAAGGTGCCCATTGGCCATGCCGGCTCCAAATGAGCTGCCACGTGGTCCATTCTCACGCCCTTGCATTCTTTCATGGACATGGAGAATCAAGAGAAACCATATGTGTAAGAAAAAAAAACATGCTTTTAAATAGTTTTACCACATGCTTTAAATGCTTTAAACTTAGTACAAGTCACTTATTAAGGCACATCTTTTTAGTATTTCTTAGTGCCTGTTTTCATACTCGCTGTCTGTCAAGTAATGCAGAATGATGGCATAACCTCACGGAGAAAACGTCAAGGATCGCACAGTTCTCCAAATAAGAGGCCAAGCATGCTTGTTTCAACCTTGTTTGCCACTTCTACTTGAAGTTTACTGAAAATCTGACACTTAAAACGAAAGAGAATATCATACCTTACATTTAAACACCAAAATGGTCAACCAAACAATATACTCATAATTTCGCTGACGAAAATCCACTAGTTTAATGCTAATTCGCTTATGCAGTAAAACCCTGCATATTCACGGTTTGGTATCTGCAAAGTCATCTATTTGCAGATTTTTGTGGGGGAACTTATCCTTCATTATTTGCTCAAAAGCTCACAAAGTGTTTTTGCAAGCGATCGATAAATGTACTATTTCAGCACCGTCTTGTGGCAATTGTGTGCCAAAATACTACATTGAAGTGGCTTGAGGAACTTCATTCCGACCAAGTACTGCTTTGCAAACATCTTGTAACCAAGGAACTAGGTTGAAGTGACTTGAAGAGCTTCATTGGACAAGAGCAATATTTTGCCAACATCTTGCTGTCAAGAACTATCTATAAGTGAGTTGAGAAGCCTAATCTAGAAAAATTTAATAGTGCTTTGATGTCATACTCACAGGAATCTATTCTCTCGACTCTGGGGGAAATCACCGCTAGACTAAAGACGAATTGGGGACCAGTTTTGGTTCTTCTTCTCTCTCTTAAATACACTGAAATTCTACCAACAGAGCTCAGTGCTGCCCTGGGTGTTGTGGCAAAACGTGGTACTACACTGAAAGTGTACAATGAATTGGGATTGTGTACTGAAAAACTCCCTCAAAAATGGCTATAAAATCTGTGATCTCGTGGCCATTCACTGTGTGTGTGTGTGTGTGTGTG